GTGTCACTCTAGCAGAGTTCTTTGACGTATACTAAGATCAAAGCTTCCTGAATGTCGGCACCATGGCGTATTCCCATTTCACATCCAGTGTTTTTATTTTTCGCTGTGCAACAGAGAGGAGATTGTTGCTGTCGGCACCTGTGATCAGTCAGCCGCCTGCAACTGTAGCAGCCGACCCTGAGCCACAGCCCGGCTGATTTATAATGTCACTGGCTCTGCTGGCATGCAGCAACATGGCATGGTTGAAAAGCCCCAAGTCCGTCACCCCCTCAGTTTTGATCTCGCCATCCCTTCATCTCTTGTTGATTCACTTTCAGATCGCCATTTCTCATTTCAGTCTCGTTTTTCCCCAGGGTTTCTCTCCTCCATATATCTATCTCCCTTGCCATTTTCTTTTTTCCCTGCCCTGACAATCTCTCGCGCCATGAGAAAAAGCTACTTTTAAAAATCACTGCCATATTTATATGCTTGAAAAACGTCCTTAATGTCTCGGTACAAAGTGTTCACTCTGATGTTTCTGCAGTCTTTCTTTTTGGCTCTCCCTACCCACACTTCAGTTCTCAGGGAGGAAAGAGAGTAGAACGGACACATCAATCACCACCAGTCCTCCCACCGTCACATGCTCTGTCTCACGCACACACACAGACATACACAAACACACACACACATAGTGCCCCACCCACATAAGCATAAATACAGGTACATGCTTAGCATACTAACCCAACCAGGTTGATATGAAAAAAGAGGTGATATATGAGGAGTCAAGTGCTTACATATAGAAAGGATCACCATGCATGTCCTCTCTTTTGTCTCTCATCCTCTCTGTCTATCACACACACACAAACACACACATAGTACAAGGTCCTTTTAGGTGCTGAATCATCAAGCCGGTTCAGGTTTGTCAGCTTTTTGTTTCCCATACTAAATACACGAGTGGGCAAACAGACAAGAAGCAAACATGTGAGAGAGTTAGGGTTAGAGTTAGCATTGGTTATGGCAGTATCATTATAGAGTCTCTGACTCAGAGTCAACGTTGAATTATGCAGATTTTAGATTAAGGTTTACTGTTTGTTCACTTCTATTGATCTCTAAAGTAGTTAGTTAGAAGGTGAATAGACACCAATTATAACTTGAAAGCACAGAATTCAGCTTCATAGTAGCTACAAAGCTATACAGTTAGCATGTAATGCATTCCTTTGTTAAATTACAGACACATGCTGCTACTAGCAATTACTGTTACCATCAATTGATCCACAGATTATTTAAGAATCTATATTTTTGTAAAGTTTAAAATAATATTTGTCCTCTCTATAAAACTCCAAAGCGATATCTTTAAATGATTGGTTTTGATGCTCGAAACCCAAAAACATTCAGTTTTATCGGTTTAAACTTTGTCTATTTAATTGAGAAATTTAAACAAAAAAAGATTCAACCTGTATGATTCTGAAGCTGAGAAAACTAGCCAGCTAAAAGGAAGTAAATAACATTTCACGCTCTACAGATCCAGAGTGATGGTTGTCACCACTGCTCCGGTATATGATGTAATGACTCCTAAAGGTTAAGGAGCACCGTTATAAACAGCACTTGCACAAGACTAAAGGAAGTACTACATTTAAATGTAGGCATTAATTGGATTACTGTCAAGCCGTCTGCCTGTTATATTGGATTAACTGTTAATATGCAGAAGAAAGGTTCAATTGGATTGGGGTCAGTTTGGATACTCTGGAACAAATGCGCCCCAGTAATGGATTATTAATGCTATGAGGCATTTATTGTATTCAACATTAAGGGTCCCCCAACTGGGGTCCAAAAAACCACAGGGGGTCTTTAAGTCAGTGTTAGTCAGTAACTTTTTATTCCACATACTTGTACCATACTTGTTACAGGGAGTATAAAGTGTATGTCTAGATCAGATTCATTTTTTCTTTAACAATATTAGTTGTTCACCACATGATTATTGTAGCCCAATAATTCACAAATACATTAATAACACAAAATATATTGAAAATCTTTAAAAACAACAGTTCATTTTGTCTTGTGTTTAAGCTAATTAATTACAATCAAAATATGAGTGTAGGAAGGTGGAGAGAGAGTCTGTGACCATAAGGGTAGAAAAGATTACAAAAAAGACAACGAAATACACGAAAAATGGTTATTAATATTGTAACCATGGATATTTCTTGACACTGCTGTCAGCTGTAGATGTATACGCTGTAGGGGTATCCATATTCGTCCCGAACCGTCCGTCACGGTTTCCAAAAGAAATAACGGAAGCTATTGGCATATATATTTCAACGGCAATGCGCCTTTGAAATGCTTTGTTATCATTTATTTTGTAATATTTTCAAGACATTCTTTTTAGTTTTACAGCTTGATGACACCTTTTTGTTTGACATCAGCCGTTGTAGATAATATGGCCATCTGATTGTGTGTGGTACTGTTTGTGGTTTGTTTTTAACTTTTGTGATACAGTTCATGATTCAAAATGTTAGAGGTCCTTATTTGCATACTGAAACTTCCACTACTGTGCAAAAATAAATAACAACAAACCTGGAATTATGCATTTGGGACTTTGCTTTTTCTTGTTGTACCGAACCCGTACCGGACCGTGACCCCCAAACCGAGGTACGTACCGAACCGTGAATTCTGTGAAACGTTACACCCCTAGTACGCTGTACACAGATTTATATTTTGTTCAGCTCTTTGATGAAGAACAGGGGGCTGTTTTAACACGATGCTACTCTCACTGTTTGAAGTGATTTGATAATGAATAAAACATCACAGTAAAAGCATGTTAGTGCAGACAAAGGATATAAATGTGTGGGATGATCAATAGAAAACGGTGCCAGCCTGCTACATGGACTGCAGCTGAGCAGCTTGTCTCTGCACAGACTCACCTGATCTGCTGACCCATAAATTATTAACAACAATGCGTTTGTTTTTAACATCTAAGGAGAATTATAGCCTGCATACTAATTGCTGTTTTGGGATGTAGACCTGCTATTTTTTTCTGTACACGGTGCCACTTATCTGGACTGTCATGCTCCTAAATGACTTTTCCTATGTTATTTAATGAAATGCTTTAGTTGCAGTTAAACGTAACTCACTATACTGGCTTACCATCAGTGCAAATGTCATGCCTTTAAATGCCCGGCCTTTCACAGCTGCTTCCCTAGAGATCCAGCTCTCTTCTGGTGTGCATTAGGTATAATAGACTGATGGATGTCAGTGCACAAAGTCTCTTTGCTGAGCACTTAAAGCTTTATAGATTTGAAAGTGCTGTCTATTATACCTGCTTAAATTACTATTTCCTGCTTTTTATATATTCAGGCTTATGAGTTTGCTTAAAAAGAGATGAAATGCTCTTTTTCAATAGAGGTGGAGTAAAAATATAGATTTGATTTATGCAAATAAAAAATGTTTATGTGCAAAAGTATGTGCACATGTAGTAACAAGAACTTGAACCTCTATTTAACATTCCCAAAACGTTACTTACATTTTCGTCGTGTAGGTGTGTTTCCTGTTTTCTAACCTTAACATTTATTTTAAGTGAAGGGGGGTTGTAGATTTGTCTATATTAGCAACATGTCGCAACATGATTAGTTTGCTAGGTTTTGTCCTTTGACGCATTAAAGTGTCTATATAAAACCTCCTGGTGGGAAACTGCCTGCAGCTGTAAAGCACAATCACATTACAAGTTACCTGTTAATCAGTTTGTAAGTACACACATCTTATCGTGCAAACAAGTCTTCAACTGAGAGATATAAGATTATAATTTAGTATTTTGTCCTGCTAATCCGATTTTATAAGCGATAATAGGAGAGTGAATGGCGTGTGTTTGTGTCAGTGATCGAGGCCTTTCTAATCAGATTAGACGTGATTCAACACTCGTGGATCAGAGGACCCCTGCCTTCTGAAACATGGATCAACACATCCATCAATCACCAGGGAAGACACGCTGGTTTTAAATCATCCCTGAAAGGTCCAATGATCCCTGCTGTGTGATGAAACGGATCCAATGGCCAGATTTGTTTCACGATTATTGAATGGCAGTGATTTGCACGTGAGAATCTTAAAAAGGGCAATCCTCCCTGAACCATAATTCATAGTGGTTATTCCTGTGACCTTGGGTTCTTAAAGCGGGTTGATGTGAAAAATACATGGGTAAGGGAAAAGATCAGAGCTGCAACTTTAGTCTTTGATGTCATCACGGCCCGCAGCCTGTTGATGACATCACAGATTACTATCGTTCTGTTCCTTTTGGGGAAACTGCTTCATAAATCCACATTAAGGTGACCACAGTGATTCAGCTTCAGGGTGAATGATCATTTATCCACACACCATCCTCCTCCTTCCCCCCCCCTCCCCTTTCTTATTCCTCAGCTCTACCTTGATCCCATTTTCGAGAATAGTCTTTTCCAGCCCCTATCATGAGTAGCATCTGTCACCTGTGAGCAAGCATGTGTATCTGAAAATGTGTGTCAGTTGAGTTCCCCTTTTTATATATATATATGTATGTGTGTGTGTGTGTGTGTGTGTGTGTGTGTGTGTGTGTGTGTGTGTGTGCAACCGCTCTCCGTAAAAATAAGTACAATGAAAAGGAAATATGTGTCATGTCCTTGCTAGCCCTCGAAAGGAGAGTGATCTATTTCTGTCGCCGTGAATAGAGGTGTTCAAGGAGTCTTCAATAGCAGAGATGTGCCTCTTCAGACACACACACACACACACACACACACACACACACACACACACACACACACACACACACACACACACACACACACACACACGGAGCTACAGAAAAGCATAGCCATTCATAGAGAATCTGAGACCGATAAATGAGAAAATAGACTCAGAGAGAATTAAGAAATGAAGGAGTAGACGGAAAAAGGCAGAGGAAGAGAGAGAGAGAAGGGGGAGGGGAAGACAGAATAATGTACACAGAGTTCATTGGAACACACACACAGTTCCCACATTAAAGCAGAGTGGTAGTTGTTTACCTAGAGGCATGCCTTTGTTGAGGAGATGTGAGCTTCCCATGGTGTGTTCCCCAGCCGGCGAGCGTTCAGTCTTCACCAAGCAGACATGAACAGGAATCCAGTCAGCATATGGCGGCTGTGGCCAGCTACCTCGCTTCCCTTAGTCCTTCTCCCAGCCCCTTAGTGACAAGCATACACATGTGCTCCCCCTCTTTTCTCTCTCTCTCTCTCTCTCCCCTCCCTTCCGTCCCCTTTTGCTCGCTCTCTCTCTCTATCCGTCTTCCCCCTCCCTGCCCGTCTTTGGCTACTTCCCTCCCCTTCCTTTCTCACTTTCTATTACAGCAAATCTCTCTGTCTTTCCGTCTGTCTGTCTGTCACATAAAAAAAGTGCAAACACATACACAGGCATGCTAGCACTGCTGCATTTATGAGAGGGAGAGTGTAGAGGGGAAGGTGGGGGGGAGAAGAGAGTGTGTGTGTTTGAGAGAGCAGGAATGGGGAGGAGCTAATGCTGGCCAAAATTTCATCTTTTGTTTCCTGAAAGACGACTGAGTGGAAAAAAAAGAAGAGTTATGCAGTTACAAGTCTGTGGCAAGAGAGGAAATGCTTGTTCCGGGGGACACCAGGAGAACAGTTATAAAGCTCATTAAAGTTAATTGTTATAAGCAAGATATGACATTTTATTTTTTCCCAAAGCTTGGTTTGGTTATTCTAATTTAACTTTATGAGTTTACTTATGGCGTTATACATTATATATAAATGGCAGATCTGATATCTTGGTGTTTTTTCAAGAAAATAAACAACTTTTTAGCATTACCATTGACAAACAAACTATTCCCATTAGGACACAACTAAATAATACAGTATCTAGAACATCTATGGGGGTGTTTGTGCTGCACTCGTGATATAATTCGAATAAAAAAACCATGCAAACCGCTGTTACTAATGAAAAAAGTCATTATTATTCATTATTATTTGTTTTATAAACAACAGTTATTATACTTTAAAAGGCATACCAGGTTTCAGGGACGTTTGAGTATATGAAAAGGAACACCTTCAGGCAGTCTTCTAGATACTGTTCTGGTATTACATATTTAAATAAACGTTGAATGGTAAGGGACGTATATTAACTTGTGAACGTTTTCCTGTTAGAAATCAAAGTGCTAATAAAGAGCTGATATTGACCTCATGACATTAGTTGTTTTTTATTTTTGTCTAATTTGACTTATTCCAAAACTGTAAGGCACTAATCTGACCATAATTATTTTACTTTTTGCCCTAACGCCATTTTGTTAGTCATTACTTTGTAAAATTGTTCTCGGTTCGACACAGATGAATTTCTTATGATTCTTTCCAGTAAAAACATATATTATTAATTACATATATATAAAAAATTGTAATTTTACCTTTGATGTACATGTAGAATTGCAGACACAGTCTTTTTAATGACATACTTAACTTAACTCCTGCACCATGTAAACACTTTTAATCTCTTAACCTCTATGTGGGCTTTGGTCTGGTTAACACCTATCCACCTCCTCGTGCTCTTTCTGTTCCTGCAGTCCTGATGTTTCATTTACTCTCATCTGCATTTGGCAATTTGATACACCACAGTGATGTAAGCAGCCTCAGATCCCCCCCCTAATAACTGTCAGGGCCTAACCTAGTTTAACAGCAATGAAGGTTACATCACAGCCTCACTATTGGTAAATGTCAAAGACTGCCACTGGGTGAGTTGTTGAATCCAAAAGGAGGCAGAGGGTCATGGAAACAGTCGTTTGCAACACTGGAGAAAAGCAGACTCATGATCTCTGTCGTGTGATATCACATCAACTGTTCATCTTTAACCATTACTGTCAACTCCTGTATATTTAGCATAATATTAATGTTCATCTCCAAAGCTGTATTTAGACAGTGTAGCACGTAAAAATGCAAGTACATTAGGTTTCAGTAATAAAAAACATTTTAAGAGCTACATACAGAAATTAGAAGTTTAAAAAACGTCAGCAGTCAAAACTGTTGAGTTTTCAGTCTGCTACGGAAGATGTGTTGACTTTCTTCTGTCCTCATCAATGGGGAGCTATTACTTAGCAGACAGGCTCCCTTTAAAGAGTACATAGCTCTCGGGTTGGGTTTTTTCTAAGATAAAATATTTAATGGAAGCTCTAGCTTTTGGGTTTATCCTTATTATTACCTAGTCACAATGTCACCTAGTCAAAGAAGAGACATCTGATGGGAATAATGCTCAAAAGTCAGTGAAGGCACATGTGGTTTGAGGCTCAAAGTAACATTGCATTTGGCCTGTTTTGTGACTGCTGCTTATAGGTTGCTGCAGGCGAATACCATTGCCAGTGTGGCTCTAAGTGTGTTCATTTAATGATGTTCACAACAGATAACAAAGTCACAGTGGACATGACTCAATCATTCCACACATCAGGAAGCAAACACTGAAACTAACATAACTGGAGGTTAAACAGAACACAGGGTCCAAAAAAACCAACCCGGATATCATAGGATATTTTTTGTTTTTCAGCAAGTGGTTCCCTTTGGGGCCCACAAATAACCATTTGTACTGTACGTCAATAACAAATCACCCCATGTTACTGTTTGGAAAAACCCTTTATTTCTTGCATGCCTTCTTTACATCTACAGTCTATGCTGACTCCACGATAAACAAACACAATGTATGCCTTATTAAGCCATTGGTATGCTCCCTACTACACTCATGCATTTTTCACTACAACCTTACGCTTTGAAACGCTTTCGCAAAGACGCCATTGTCAGCGGTAAATGTAAGAACGCTATGCAAATTAGTGGACTCAAGCTAGCCACACTATATACTAAAATGGTACGTTAACACAGAGAAGCTTGGATTACATAACACGCATAGGGAGTGGGACTCTTCCTGCTTAGGACTATAAACTACACTACATTTTGACAAAACCGACAGTGGTTTGCTGCTATAATAATTATCTGAATGATGTATAACAGTAGACCCTTTAGAAAGGATTTAGTTAACTTGGACCTTTGTAGGGGGTAACACATCAAATTGTACTCCATATTACAGAACGTTCTATTTGAAGAACTACTTGAGCTCCCTAATGAATGTCATGTTGTTTTACACTCACCAAATTATGCAAATGGCATGTTTAAACTGATTCATCTGGTAATTGAGAACTTTCTCTCTCTACTTGTCATTGTGCCGTACATGGATGCTTTTGCAATAGGGTAATTCAATAATAACAGTTGGTCGTATAACAAGAAATGAGTGAGTAGGTTTAGCTTTACCTCTGATACCAAATTCAAATGGAGTCAACGATGTAAGAAGCTACAGACAACATTTGTCCACAACTACCTCTTTCTAGCTAGAGACATGCTCTGTGGGAGATAGAGGAATCCTAAAACCTATTTAGAGCTTCTAAATAAAGATGGAGAAACGAACGAGGCTTATATGGACTTTGAAAAAGGTCAGAGGATAAATCAGGAGATTTTTCTGCGCTGCATTTTGTTTGTTTAGACTCTTCTTTAATGTGTGCAAACTGAGCCGATATTCACACGTTTCTGAGCGAGGGTGGAAACTTACAGTTACACCCTTCCCTCTACTTATCATTTAAATCTGCTGTTTCTTTCTTCCTCTTCCTCTTTTTTATTTTCTCTCCTCCTCCATTCTCTCTACCCCTCGCTCCTCACCCCCTCAGTCTGCTCTCCCCTCCCTCTTTCCTCCCCATCTCTTTACCTGCCCATCTTGCTTCCCCTCTTCAATCCCTCACAATTTCTCCCTCGATAACGTTCGCTCTCCATCACCCACCATTCCTCATTCCCGCATGTCTTTCACTCAGTTTTTCCTTCCCCACCTTGCTCCCCATACATCTTCACACCCACGCCACCTCCCACCCTTTCCCTCTCTGTAGTCACTGCAGCGTGTCTAATGGTTCAGCTCCCTCTCAGCAGATACACCAAGCGGAAGCCAGGCAAACAGCAGCCCCGGATAACGCCTCCCAACCTCTGGCCTTATCAAGACTGACAGCCAGCTCGACGTAAAGCTATCACACACACATAATAGCAAAGACACGAGCCTGCACATGTTCAGAGATACAAGCTGTACCGAGAAATAAATGCACACTCACACAAGCATTTGCATGCAAAACAAATGCACTGACACCGTGGTACAGGCTCAAACAGAGATATAAGTGATGCAAGAAATGCAGCTGGAACCAAGCGTACACACACACACACACACACACACACACACACACACACACACACACACACACACACACACACACACACACACACACACACACACACACACACGACAGGAAATGTGGATGTATGCACACAAAGAGCTACAGATGCACACCTACACATATAGCGCTAAATTAAGCTTCAAGGAAACACACAGTGGACGTTATACTAGTTGTAAATGTGCAGAGGCAGAGGCAGACACACACACACACACACACACACACACACACACACACACACACACACACACACCAAGTTGGATTTATGGATACTGACAGTGAGCTGTAGAGCAATGTGGATGCCACATCAGAGGAGAGCACAGTTACAAGCCATGTAATCTACTATAGGAGGAGACAGGTGGCATAGGCAGGAAGAATCGAATCCACGTAGAGAAGAGGAGTAGGAAGCAGCAGCAGGAGAGAAACAAAAGGGATGAATGGAGGAACAGATTGTCAGAAAAAGTGAATGAGAGTAGGGAGAAGGAGGAGAGTTGAGGCAGATACGAAAAGAAAGCAGTGAAAGTAGAACCAAATGAAGGATGATGAGAAAAGAGTAAGATTGATGAGGAAAAGAAGACGTATCACTATTTTCACAGAAAGTTTGATGTAAAGACAGGTTCAAATTAAAAAGGTTTATTTTCATATCATACACACAACTACGGTGTAGTTATGTAATGAATGAAAATCTCTGGTCGCAGGTTTCGCAACATTGCAATTACAAGAATTACATTTTTCTTTTTTTTAAACATAAATAAAAATAGTGCAAGCTCAGGTAGCTCAGACAAATAGGTTTATATCCTTGTTCAAATGTTACTTTGTGATATTTATATAACTGTCACCTCCCTCAATAGAGAAAAGCGCTGATTACCAATAACTGCTAGCATGTACCTACATGCATCTACACTTACATTTGGCCTATCAATTTAATTGTTATAATTCAAATCACTGAAATTGGCTCTTATTTCCTCACAACCATTACTATTTATGTATGCCGATGAAGATGCTAAAAGTATTGCAGAGCCCGCCTTTGGTTTATAGGATGTACACTTGAATTAGGCAGTCACACACAAGAAAGCCTTTTTCTTTAAGTACACACTTGCAAAGAGGCCTTTCCACTAGTTGTTTGGTGTGGTACTATCATTTGGCGTTGCTATCACACCCAAACTCGAACACTGACACACATACTACTAAACACAGGAAGACACAAATACATCACAACCCTTTCATCGCCTTCTCTCTGGGTGTACACTGTTCATAAGCTTGGTGGGGGTGGGGCATGTTGCAGATAAGGGGCCAATTGTAAGCGATTAGACCTTTTGCCAGCCAATCAGCGCAGCCCAGCACTGGACAGCAGCCAATGGCAATATGTTCAGCGCGGTCGGGGGGAGTATGCACTTACTCACACAGGAAAAGACATGTGGCCCTGCTATGGGACTGGTTTTGGGGGATATGAACTGTACACAAACACATTCTAAGTAGCATAAATGAAGATTTCATGTTGGAAAATTAAGAAATAAGCAGCCTGCTGATCTAGTCTTGGCCCTATTCTGTTCTTATCAATACTCAATCACATAATCAACTCCAATCCCAAGCATTCAGCACAACAACCCCTTATCCAATCAATAATGTCCACATGAAAAAAAGACAAGAAAAACCAATCAGGAGAAAATCACCATTTGCTTTACTTTCCCAAAATGTTGACTAATATATTGTTATTGATAATAAAAAAAGTATACCTGTCATTGATTTTACATTTTTCAGGTATTTGTTAGGTTTCCTTAAAGTAGCCTAATGATTTATCCCAGAGCCTGCTTTTTTCCAACCTCTACAATATATACATACTGTATATAGGCTATACAGAAATGCAAACAGGAATGTACACGCAAATTCACAGGGTTGTAAACAGTAAGTCAAATATATAAAAGTAAATTCAAGTATAAATTATTTTTGTCGTGATATTTGTTTGTCTTCTACAACATCACATTGACTGTGTGTAAATAACATGCTGTGTCTCGCCTTGAATCAATTCATACTTTCAGTGTGAAGCCACTTCAGATAAGAAAGGTATCTGAATAATATTCAACAAAGCTCCTTACATTGTTGCCTGTCATAGCCTTTATGAGTTCTATTATTCACCTCAAGTGTGTTGAGGGCCTCGGAGTTGTCCTCCCTTTATAATCTATTTGTGCTCTATCTACCAATAAAAGCAACAATGGCCAACAAATTAATCTTTACAAAAAACTCCTCCAACACCTTCGCACAAGTCAGTGCTGACACCGTGTCAGCAGATGGCGGTAGTGAGCACCGAGGCCATTCTGAGCTCACAGAAAAAAAACACAAACAACCACAAGAAAAACCACAAAACCAAGATGGCGGTGCAAGAGACAGCATCTCAACTGTCCATGGCTCTCAAAGTCCAAGAATATCCCACCCTGAAGGTAAACAAAACCTTTCATATATGAACAGTCTTCCTAACCTGCTGTGTCCTAAACACACGATGTGTTTGACGCTGTTTGGAAAATGGGGATGAGTAGTTCATTTTTATAGCGACCAAGCGAATTTGACAGGGAGGCTAACGTTAGCTGCACTAGCTTAGCTAGCAGCGTCCTTTAACTACCTGTGTTTAAATTGCATCAGCAAAGATCAAGCAGCTGGATAAAGAACAAATGCTGGTGGCCAGTTAGCAGGCTGTCTGCTGCCTCAATTAGTTCTTATTATTCACCTCAAGTGTGTTGAGGGCCTCTGAGTTGTTAGCCTGAGTCTGTTGTTTTTGACAAAATTGTCATTTGACGTGTGACTTATGAATTGTCAGTTGACGATACTTATACGTTATCTAACGAAAGTTGATAGCCGTTTGTCAGTTGTGTGTGTGGGCAAATTTAAAGGCCGAGCTAACCTGGCTACTTAATTCAGTTTAAAGATTATATTTACATTATGATAATAACATGTTAAAACGTGTTTGCTCGTCCATTCAACAACCAGGCATGGCATTCAAAAGAAATACCTTGAAAGTGTGTTTGGCCTGCTAGCTAGTTTTGTGTGGGGGAAACCAACAGGAACCACATTTCTTGTCGCTAAAGATAATAAACACCCTACCAGATAACGTAACGTCAAGCATGCAAATAGTAGATGGCTGTAGGAAGGGTCGGTAGAAATCACCGTGGGGAGAGCCCGTAAACGCTGCAATGTCAGGCAGGGAATCAGCCCTGAGAGTTAGCGCAGTGTCATCATATTGCTGCTGCTGCCTATCTGCACTTCAAAATGGCCAGCGAGAGAAATCACAGCCCGCCGCACACACGCACCGTTCCTCCATTTCCACAACACGTTACTGCGACACCACTGCTAAAAGACGAGCTGAGAGAAGCTGCTCCTGTGTCCAGCCGCGTCGTCGTTTAAAAGCACGGTTGTGAGTAGCAATGTATTGGCAGCTTTTGTGTAATAACATGTGGCATGATGGTGCCATGATGAATATAACGTGTTGTTTAAGTCGTGTCTGTTCAGGAGAGCATGGCTGTGGCGATATGTCTGCCTGTGCTTGGATGGTGCAGTATAGGGATGATCGGCTCCATTTTAAGACAGGACTGATGCTTTTAATTGCTATCTAATGGGAGTGTACATATGTGTTAAGCTATATTTAGCAGCTTATAACACAATGTTGCCTGTTAGACATTTAGGAATCGGCTAATCTGCATTGCCAATAAAATGTACCTTGTGTTGGGTATTATGTCCTTGTGGATGGTTTTGGATATTTTAAGTCAGATTGGTGTAAGGTAAAGAAAAAACAAAAGGAAATGGTAACCCTAACTAATATATTGAACAGCCATTGGACCAGTGCTTTGTTATCCTGAATGGTGTGACAAAACAGGCCCAATTTTGAGATGACGTTGTAATTCTGCATTGTTTAAAATAATGTGTCTGTATTCGAGGTGAGTCAAAAATGTTTGCTCACATTGCCTAAGCCATTAGGTTTAGCCATTTAAAGATTGTTTAATATTGTCAACTAAAATCATATATGTTGCCTGATAAACATTGGGGAAGCTTCTAATCTGAATTACCAATAACATGTAACCATTTGGATATGATTCCCTTTTGGATGTTTTTGGATGTTATCAGTCAGATTGATGTATTGTAAAGTAAAGGCAATGGGAACCTTAATAAATATATTTACTAATTTTTGTGCTTAATTGACCAGCCTTTGGACCAACGCTTTATTCTAAATGGTGTGACAATGCAGGCCCTATATTATAGTGAGATGACGTTGTAATTCTGCATTGGTTGAAAATATTGTGTCTGTATTCAAGGTTAGCCAAAATCTTTTGGACACGCTCAATTGCCTAAGCCATTTAATGATTAGTAGATATTCTTAATTATCATAAAGCTTGGAGTGGGCTTGTACATGTTTCGCATCAAATTGTGACAGACAGCCAGTAACACAGTGTCATAATAGCTGTCTTTGTTAATGTGTTAATGACTGATTTACATGTCACCTGTCAAGTAAATCAAGGATGTCTAAGAGTAGTGCAGTAGATAATGCTATATATTATATTGTAATAACAATGTATTTGATGGACTGTTTATAGATACATTATCCAGCTCTAAATGCCTGTATTGGCTTATCCAAGGAATTTAAAACCTTGGATATCACATTCTCTGCATTGATTTGTTACATTTACTTTCCTCATACATGTTAAATACATAACCACTTAAGTACAGAGGGTTACAAAAGCAGTTGTTACAATATCTACAGCCCTTGGTTCTACATTATAGTTGACTGCTCAACCTGGGTTGTTTGCATACACTGTGGATTCTATAGATATTGTATGAACTGATTTATTTGTCTTTCCATACATCTTGATGTTATCATCACCATGTAGAGTATCTGCCCTCTGAACATTTAGTTCCTGACCCTCCACATCATTTGTTGATCTATTGCCAATTGTGTTTCTTAAAATCAATTTTCGCATACCTGAGCAGAATACATTCACCGTTTCTTTCCAAATGGCACTAATGAATATGTACTAGTGCTTACACGGCTATTCCATTGTAACATCTTAATTATAGGGTTATATTCTGGGCATTAGTTTGGCAAAATTAGAGCTAATAGGTTCCATAAAAATTCCAACATGGCAGCAAAATGTCTTTACTGTCGAATGTTTTGTGGCACGCTTGCATACTTTTCCTCTTCAGTGTTAGTGACCTGTGAAATTAACTTTGCTCTAAAGAAAAAAACGACTTGTAATGGATCCACGTGCTCCTCTTAGTTTTGTGTGCTGTCTCTTAGAAAGGAAGCCACAATGGTCACATTTTTCTGGAGCACAGGTGTCTTTAGAAGCCTCACTTCACTACACCAAACATGATGGTCTTTGGATTGGATTTAATACAGATACTTTGTTTTGCCCCTACACCGGGGTCCAGGGCGGGTTTGTCTGTTTGTTAGTAAATATCACAATAAAAGGTTGTCAGATTTCTTTCCTCTTTAATTAAAATAAATATGCAAGTTCTGTTAAAATGAATAAGGCAGAGTTAATTTGGGGAAGGAAACTATTTTCTCCTCATAACAGTAAGACATTATAAAAACATCTTTATTATTGAGTAGAGAAACAGTACATCGATGTGGAATTAAATGTAGCAATGATTACATATTCAGCCGTATCAAGAAAGGCAGGCTCGTTGCAGTCAGTGCTTGTGACATTTATTGGTATTTATTTGGACAAACTGTTCTTGTTTACCCATTCCTAGTTTTTATGTGAACGTTTGTCTTGTGAGCGTTTTTTAGTCCCTACAACACAGGATATCTATGCACTTTTCTTCTACTTTTAAGGAGAATCCCTAAAACTCAGTGTCTGTAAAATTGCTTACAGCTCAGCTATCCAAACAGCTTATCCGTGTGTTCACTTATGCTGCTTTGTAAAACTGTACTTGGTTCCATGCTTGCTCTTTGGTGAATTCCCAAAGTTAAAAAGCCTGTGTCGTTGTTGTTGTTGTTGCAGGTGCCGTACGAGACTCTGAACAAACGTTTCAGGGCGGCTCAGAAAAACATAGACCGGGAGACGAGTCACGTGACGATGGTGGTTGCCGAGCTGGAGAAGACGCTGAGCAGCTTCCCAGTAGTCGACTCGGTGGTGTCACTGCTGGATGGTGTGGTGGAGAAACTCAGCGCCCTGAAGAGGAAGGTGAGGGATTCATATGTACACACACACTTTCACACAGCAATGTATTCTCTACAGACCTTAAAATAGTGTTTTATGTATAGATTTGGCATATGGGACAGTAAAAAGCCAAGATATTTAGCTACACACTCCAGAGCCCCTACTCTATGAACAAACACGCATGATCCCTGTTGCATTTATTTCCCTCTGGTCTGCTTATGGCCTTGGTATGTTTTGTACTGGTGTTGTATTATAAAACTTCTCTACACACAGTAGCATACACATTTGAATTTATTTTGTCATCTGCAGTCTTTTCAGAGTATTCTTCTTACAGTAAACTAGAAAGCAACCCAAAAATGGAATCCCTTCTTCAATAATGGTTGGCAATAGTTTGAATGTTAGATGCTTTTGACGCATACAGGCAGTTACCCTGTGCTTGGATCACGGTTCTCTGAAGAGACTTGCAATTTTTTGCCCTAGACTTCTGATTTCAGGCGTATTTAATTATGAAGTTATTACCCTATCCTAATAATCCAATGCAGAGGCAATAATGTAATATAATACATTATATTAAATATTCATACATTTATTTTTCTAAAGTCTTAAAGTTACAACCGGCCCTTTGAGTGCAACCATAATGCTGATGTGGCCCGCAATGAAGTTGAGTTTGACAGCCCTGCTCTAGTTGGTGTAATTTTTACAATAATGGTGTTTCCTGCTATCATTTTAGTTTCAGAGGGTTGTTCTTTACAAAAAGTAATTGCACAGACGACCAGATACTATAGAATGTTGGCTTAACATAGTGAAAGCAGCCATGTTTATGAACAGTTTATAACAATCAGGTCTTTGTTTTTACTCACTTTTAAAGTGGTGACCTGGACTGGGATGTAATTTTCGGGCCTTGGGTGGATGGAAATTATGGCTGCACGATTTGGGGAAATAATCTAATTTTTCTGACAGATATTGCAATTCGATTTGCGATATTTGTTTTTAAGGGACCCAACGGAAGTTTATTTTAAAATGCGGCCATATCTCCGGCCAGGAAGGTCGTATCAACGTGCTCCCGTCTCTAGCACCCCCGAGCTACGAGTGAAAGAACTAAACTTACATGAAACTTCGGTTGGGTTGCTTTAAAGTCAAGTTTCAGTTTAAGACTCACCCTGTAATAGAAACATGTGATGGAGCATTACTAACCTGACTCAGATGGTTTGTTTCACCAAACCATCTAGGAAAGCTCCATTGGAAGCCATTTGGAAAAGTGTTTCAAAAATACTTGGCAGGTGATTGGATCAATCTGTCTATCACCTACTATCATGGGCCACTTCTGATTGGTTAACGGCCCGTCCACACAGCAGCTTTAAAAAAATCTTGAAAATCTTGGAGCTGGGCGTGTCTGAAAGCTTGGATTTTTTGCAACCAACAACTAATCACATGAATCTTCCGCCCCCGACACACAAAGCAATAGCAATGTTAAAACGAAGTAAACTGG